ATTAGTAAATTCCTTGCCTTTTCTGTGTTTCGCGGAATCACGGAAAACTGGTTTTTTTTTACCTATAATCTCTACAACTTTTCCGACTATCACATCTTTCTTCCAGCGCTCACTTACACGAAATTTCGGTTGGGAGTACACCATCTACCCAACTGTATGTTCACCAGAGCCTGAATTGCGCGATCATGATGTGGCTTTAGCGTCACCGTATGTCTCTTCAACTCACTTTTTAGCCGCACTTAGGACGAAGAACTTGGGTATAAATCAAGTGTTGTTGCTGACATTGGGAACTTCTTTGTCCGTATTACTGGCGATAGGCGCTCAGAACAATATCCGACGAGGACCCTTAACGTTTCTCCATCAAGGACTGCCATGGATCCCCATCCCCTTGATTTCTATTATAAACTTCACCCTTTCCACTGTAACCTATGTCGTTGCGCCTGAGCTACTGTACCAGGGACTGCTTGATCTGCGCACGAGCTTCATTTGGCTGCAAGCGAACAGAATTCCCCGCTAAATAGTCGTCATCCACTGTCACCTATCTTTATCTGATACTCCGTGCCTAAACCGTCGATCACTTAGTTTTTTGTTGACCACTTACCACAACTTATCGGCATCATCTTGCAGCATCATCAGCTGTTTAACCAACCGGACCGTCTATTATCGTTAGGCTGGATTGATTCGACCGACCATACATGGTCCAGTACATTTATCCCCTTAGTGTATTTCACGCCGACGACTGAGCTCAGTGAAAAGTGTCATTGTTCTGTGTGACGGCAACTGGGCCGGAGCTCGGTTGCTTTTTAAGTAGCAGTTCGTCATTGATAGTAACGCATACATCACTAAGTTGTAGTGCGATGTCTATACTATCGGAAACCAGTTACTTGTCTTCTATCCAATTTTCGAAGCACATCACTGCTGCGTACATCGCTCCTGCATCAGGGCGTCACTTATTATTACCGCTCGACCTTACATCTTTTTTTACATTTTCGAGCTCAGCCTAGGGCTGCTTTGCTTTAACTGAGGTAACCCTTGAAACTTAAACGACGCGATGTCACAGGAGTCTATCTCGGTTGCTATCGTGAACCAGTTCAGTGCAAGTGCACCCCGCTAATCAACCGTTTTCCACATGACTTACAGCACTGACGAAAACGCCCGAAAGACGTGGGAGCAATCATTGGTTTTGTTTATTTGTCAGAGGCATGCACCACGACGCGAATGAGAAGTTTTAAACTGTGCGATCTTAATTTTTATCTGAACACTAGTAAATACTATCGATGGTCGGCAGCGTATTTCACTTCATGCATTAAATTTTGCTCTAATACCCTGTCATTGCATTCTCTAACTTCGACCCACCACCCCTCTGTGAGTTCACTTTGTTGGCTCACCTAATTACCCCGACTTGTTGTCGACTTACTCAGCGCGGAATCATGCAAACTAAACTGGTGACGCACATACGGTACAGGCGAATAACGATGATTTTCCACTGCATCAAACTCTAACCAGCTACGGTGGGTTACCGATTGCCGATGTCAGTACACACACTGACGAGGCGATCACACTCAAGCTAAACACCATCGTCCGGACCTAAGAGTTTCGTCTGTGAACTCTGTCACACACCTCGGCAAAATGTGTAATTCGGTTTCGTCTCAGGGGTAGTTTTAGAATCCAGTTGATATCACGCACTCATACTGTGAGCTATCAGGTTTGCACAGATGCGTTTCTTTGACTCCTTTCGGTATACCTAGCTATTCCAGTGATCTGTTTCTTTTGATCGCCTAGCACTGCACGTCGTATCCACTTCCATTAACTGATTGGGATTCACAGAATGGTTTCCCCCTATTTGTCGTGTGGTGCAGAATCCGAAATCCTGCCACTCCGCCACATCTGCTTGCTGTTTCAGCCTCCGGAATTCACGGGCGATTGAGGCTTTGCTGTTACAGATGCCGATACAGTACTGAAACGACACATCAAGTCGCCATGGTTATGTCCGTCACTTTGGCCCCGAGTTAGTATTCCTTTCGCATAAGACTTTTTATTACGCATTTACCTGAATCATAAGGCCTTGTTAATCGGGGCTTCGTTATGTTGCAATACACGTGCTATCTTCGGCCAACGCCACAGAATCCTGGTTATTCTATCTTACTATTTGTGGTTTCAATGCTTGTCACCGTTTCAAACGCTTGTCGCTCTTCATCTCCATATACTCGCCGAAGCATTACTCCCGTTCCTGCATGAACCTGCTAATCTACACTCGTTTATGTACAAGTCGTGCGAGATGTCCCTTCTTTCTTCAACTATTGGTTGAGTCCTATTCATCCAATTTGCGCTTCTTTTCTTCGCCAGTTTAAGATATTCGGCTCACAAAAATAACTGATCTGAAGTAGTTCCTTTCCTACATTACTCCATGTAAGAACACCATAAGGCATAGGGTGTGGATCCTCTTGGTCATTCCATGAACCCTAGTCAACCCAAGCATTCAGCTGAATCCGCTTTAAACAAGGTCAATTTGTCAGTTGGGATCATTTGGTGGACAATTGTTACGTTTCGCATCACGCCGACAAGTTTGTTGTCACTGATAACTACTTTTGCATCTTGAGCAGATGTAACTCTATCAGTACGAATGATGTCAATGTAATAGGTAATGTGTGGGAGTGGGGGTGTTTTCTGTGTCCTAAGCCAGTTGTCGAAGCCGATGATCACCTGGAGTACAAAACAGGGTGTCCTCTTTACGCTAGCATGTCTCCATGAAGTATAAACACGTTTGGCTGTCGACCTCTCGGGGCCAACTTACGCGCTTCGTATTCTTCACTGTGCCACGCGGTCTAACTCCTTCGACGTTACTAACGGCCTAGTCACTGTCTTACCATCGACAAAGATTACAGTTGTCTCTCCCTTGATCTTTGTTAGCTTCAAGGAGCATCAGTGCTCAGTGGTCTGTAACTCATTGCACATTACCACTTTCCGACGACACTTACGGGTGACCGTCTTACACTGCGGCTTTCAAGTTCGGATGGTGCATCTTTGCCTCTCGAGCACAAAAACGTGAACTCACTCATACCAACGAGGGGCTCCTGGAATGCACATGCATGAGTACATTCAAATGTTCACATATACTAAATGTGAGCACCCAACATGACTTGAAACGGCAATTTTAAACGCGGCTCTTCTATCAATGTTTCTAATTGCTTACGCTACGCTCACGAACCGCAAATTTCGTTCGAAGCCATTGAAATCGCTTCCTGGTGACCCACTCATCCAATTTTCGATATGATGACCATTCACCCGCAACACCGCTTTGCCACCAAATGCTTGACTTTCGTTTATAATATATTGTGACCGACTTTTGGCTGTAATTGCGAAGCTGAGTCTTCGAGGGAATGATATAGATAGGGCGGTCTGCTTTTCTTGTACGCGCCAGAAATGGACACTGATAACCGTACCATCTACCATTTGCAAATCATGCCTTTCGGTTTGCTGTGACACCGTATGCACTTACACACAATTTCTATGAGTGGTATATCAACTCAATCATATTACAGTATTTTAATGTCAGTCTGTGTTTATAGAATATACCTTGGTTACTGAATCCATATTACCGTTCGTGTTATGGCAACTGTTTCGCTTTTGGCGCTAGGTCATCTGACATTCGCTGCTACAGGTGTGCAAACGCCACTGTATACATCTTTTACTCATCGAAGGAAATTCGTTCACTTCAACTTGCGCACTCCCCCATATCAACCGTATAGGTAAAGCTTTTCACTTTCGTGGTCGGAACGTACTCGCTTCCCGAGTGTTAGGAGGATGCGTACTGGACACATATTTTATGATCATTACTAGTTACCAGCTTTCGTTTGCTGTCGTTTGTTTATTGGCATTTGTTTAGTTAGATCATTTCTTAAATTTGATTGGCCGATATACGTCGTTCGTAATGGATCTCATCTCAGGGTCCGGTTTTCGCTAATACCGTTTTCTCGGGCACACCTGATTTGTTCTTACTGTTGTCACTTTTTATTCACCTCTGTTATTCGGCTGGTTCCAACGTGTTTTGGTAGCTTTGATTCAACTACCATTGTTCCCTCTTTAAGTGAACAGATTTCCGATGTATACAATTCGGTCGTAGGTCGTCTTCCGTGTTCTCTTTGCGGTTGTGTAGTGCGATCAGTCGGCGGCGACACAATACCGAGGGTGCCAGTATGGTGTTCTATTCGAAATTGGCAATGGCTAGAAAAACACCCTGTTGTACAAAAGGCTGTAGTGCAGTAGCCGAGTCGGTTGTATGTACTCAGTTCGGGTTTCCACGCCTTTGTAGTCCCCATGGGGTTTGTGCACTTTGGGTGACACCGTTACCCCTGTGATTATTTCGGCACACGAAGCATTTCCGCTTCTAGAGAATGTAATGAGGTCGAATCACTGGTTGTTATTTCACCGTTCCACTGGCTAAAATTAGGTCATCCCAGGCCCCGCGCGATTCCATTTTCGACAAACTTTTTTTCATCGAACCTAATACTCTCAGACGACGATTGACCTGCCAACGGTGTTCGCGTTGTGTTCCTAGACCTCTTATTCAGGACGTCGTGCGTCATGAACGTCATATATCTCTAACATTTCTAAAATATTTTTACAGTAGTCTGTGGTCGGAACAGCGCTTTAACTCTGAACCTGTTGCTAAACCAGTTCATTCTTGTTTATTTTCCTCATCACCTTTGTCCACTGTATTTACTATGGTCTCAGAGTGCTCACTTTGCGCCGGTACACCATACCGACGCTTCGCTGTCACGTTACCATCAGCAGTTGCACGTGGGCAAAGGATACTGCGAGGGTCGCGTAGTCCCCTACGCAAGCTCAAATCTGCGACCTCAGGATTATCCTTTCGGCCACGAGTCGGTTTCACTTATACTTGTTTATCAGTGGGATACTTCTCATCAGGTTTTCATCGCATTACTTTTTTAAACTTCCACCGGCATCTCACAGTTGTCTTTTTCCTCTTTATTGCACAGATCATGCAGCGCTTGAGGCCGCAGGCATCTCTATTTCCGAGTGTTCTGGACCTGACTCAGTGCCCTTATATGTGGCCCTATTGCTCTCAACCATTTTACTACTCCATGAGGCCGGTGGTAGTGAACGTAAGTCAACATAATTTTACGGGTACACTTATCCATGTTGGTACCAGTCCCCTTCTCAGCTTATCCAGCACACGAACCTTAGTGCTATTACTGTGTACATGAATTCATCTATGCTACATTCCTCGTCTCGTTGCAGTACGAGGCTTCCGAATTTCTCCGCTCTTCTTAGGTAGAAGTCTTCGTTGCGGTGAGCATAAATGTCATGCTTTGCGTCCCTGCGTTAGTTGCTGCTCTATGTACTGCTTGGCACTTTCCGATTGCCCCCGGAGTCACTCGTACCATACATATTAATGGCTACAAGTTAGGTAAGCTCCGTCAAAGCCGGTTTAGAATTTACGGATTATCGTTTACCCTGAAACAATAATTTGCGCTTGTCGTAGCACGCGGCCATCACGGATTACCTCTGACTATGGACGAAAATATATCAATCGTTATTCCTCTCATTAAGGTGGATATGATCGTTCTTAATAAGATCCACGATTGCTTCAGCACAATTTATTCCGTCCACTACTCATAATTATTACGGTCCAGACCGCGCGCCTGGAAATGTGTTATAAACACACGGTTAGGTAGCGATTCCGACAATAACTGTGAGCATATTTTTAGCGATCTTGACCTCGGTCTCCTGATTCAGTAGTCATTCAATCCCCAAGATCCATTTCGTCATCTTTTCTCGACGGTGGCTTCTGGGTCAGCTGAGCCACGCGTCTGACACATCTTTCTGGACCTGAGTAAACTGTATTTTGTTGGACATGCCTCTGATGAAACCCAGCATTTCAAACACTGCTTACGTGGTCGTGTAAGGTGTCACTCCGCAGCAATTCACTTACTGCCTTGTTGGTGCACCAAAGTCTGGATCCATTCAAACAAGCCCATTGAGTTTGGCATGTGGTCGTCTGCCTGCGCACGTGATCCAGTCTCTGTTGTACTCGAGCTACCACAGAAGGGGACGCGCATTGGGCACTGGCGGTGTCTTTCCTGTCAATCCCATGGCCAAGCCGCCACTGTTTAGGGGGTTACGGAGCACTTTTTTCTGTATATCAGAGTCGCACATGACACGAAGCGATGGTGGCCACAAAGAGGCTGTCTCACTGACACCCTGCTCTCTACGCACGACACCCAGTTGTTCGTTGTAGTACGATGTTATCAAAGTATAGGCGCCTTGGTCCTGAATACTGCGATAAAGAGTAGGCTTTACATTACTTTCCCCCTGTTCTCATTCTTTATTGCTAGTTTCATCTCTCATGCTCTGTCTCTGTAGATAAGCAACATCACCATAGTAGTAAGGCGTTCGCTTTGTAATACATAGATGCTCGATTCGAATATGAATTGGTGCAGGTGACCTCACAATAGCCTTAACCCGATCTCGATTGGTGATGCTCGCGTGGCATCGAAGTGTCGGTGCGGCGCACCGGTATACTGCTTATGCCACGCCTTTGCTCAGCTCTTGAACGTCGCCTGGGTGGACTGCGCACTCCGAGCCAAGGGCGGTACGATTCAAATCGGATTTTACAGCCTTATTTCTGGTGACAGACAACCCCCTCTTCATATCCCTCGTCTCCAACTTGGTTCTACTGGGGCCATTTGTATTTTATCCTCTTTTGTCTTGATTGTGATTGCCTTCCACTTAGTGTATTGGCCTCATCCACCGGACGGTTTTAACGATGAAGGTTGATTCAAAGCTTTTCGTCCATTTATCCTTGGATTAGCTCACTTTCGCAATCGCTTAATTCATCTTTCCACTTGTTTCGACATTTTTGCTCAAATTTATACGCTTTTAGCGTTCCACATGCTCACCAAACCTTGCGCGTCATCCTTTCCCGATGTCTAGATAACCATTCTAAACTCGATGGGTGTCGTCGGTTACATCAAGAATCCTCCCGTTTATCATCCTTATGTGGACCGCAGTGGACATCGTCTGCGCGTCTCTTTCACATATTTGCCTCGCTTGTGGCCATGGAGTGGTCATTTGGCTATTCATCTTGAGGTTCAGAACGACCCACTGGATTCTTTGCCCAGCGCGTCATTCTACGGTACTGCAGAAGGTTTCGTCACATTTACAGTGCAGTCGCGTGATAAGGTAGGTTCTCGTTCCGACATTTCTGGTGAATGTTTACTGTTTCACCTTTCAACAGTTGTTCTTGCACAACCGACTGAACCGAACCACTGATAGTCACTGACTACTGACCAGTTGCGAGGCCTATGGTCTTCTGATGGTCGATATGTATTCTGCAATTGTTTTTATTGTTTTTTTCTTAACGGTTTTGTTCGACTACGGCTATATACTTTTTTCTAATTGGCTCCGACTGGCTCCAAACGGTAGTTCACCGGCCAGGCTGTGCGCAGACACTAACGGGTTCACGCTCCGATTGGGGTAGTGGATTACACTCCGACCTGACTGGTTTATCTGCAGATGTTTGGTTATCAGCACAGCTTCCGCGGGGCTTCGTTAACTGTTTGATTTCTGACCCAAATGCCAAGGTTCAATGGATTCCCGTGTCTGTCGGCTTCTTGATCTTCCTATTATCTGGACACTAGATCCCATTTCTAATTTTCTGCATCCACATACATCAGCATACGCAATCTATACTTATGCCAGTTGGCAGCCGAGTTGTGTTCTTGTCGCCCTCTACTTGTTTCACATTGCATCTTTCGCAGTTTCTTCCTCAGATTTGGTGATTACAGTCTATTTAGTTGAACCATTCGAGACTGGATTCACGCTCAGTGCCCTTTGCTCCACCGACCGAGTTTGACGAACTTACTGGAATTTCTAAACACTTCTTTCATTTCTAACGCATGCAGCAACGCTTTGCTTCTCGCAATTGGTACACTACACGGGGCAGTAAGCATTACCAACTACTGCTCAGCTTCTTTCTCAGCCACAGCAAATGTCTCCTAACCAAACGCCAATCAATTTCAATCATAAAGACCGGCCTGATATACCGGATTTCAGAACATACTCTTTCGAACAGCCGAGATTTGTTGACGAGTTTCAGTACACTGACCAAATTTGACCCACGGCTTCCCTGTTTAACATTTACTGCCTTCAGCTGCGATTGTTCTTGCTAACCTACTGTTCTTGATTACCACGCCTGCAGTCCACGTATCCGTATGAAACGCGCGGGGATCGCAGCTGGAACGGAAGGCAACTGTAATCATAGATGTGACATTTGTATTATGCATATTTTCTGATTATCCACTTTACTGGGAACATATAGGCTACATCTCACTGTGTTCGTAGGTTTTGGCTCTCTGGCAAATTAATTACTAAAGCATGTCTTCTGTCTAACGTGATTCCTTAGTTATCTTAACTTTCGTATTTGTTTAATCCCCTGCAGCTGACTCGGGAAGTACTGAAGACGCATCTGGCTTTACCTATTCGTGTGAAAATAATACGCACACCCAGTCGAATGTAAGTACGGTGCTCTCGTTCAGTGTATTTTTTACATCGGTGCGATTATGACCTGTGATTCCTGTAATTTTACCTGTTCACCAATAAAGTTCCCAACGTTCAGACAATATCCTGTTGTCGTGTGTTCAATGTGTGTTTCCGGAATCGTTGTGATACTTGGCTCGGTTGAAATTTGATCAGGATGACATCAAACCTCGTCAAAATGTCTTATATTGTTGCACTGGTCCTGTGGATGATGCATTGTTATCATGTCCCAATGCGTCACGTATTCCGGCAGAGCTTTTCCATACATATGTGGGCCAAATTTCCTTCTTGATTCGTTGGGTCCACTCTCCACTGTTTTCATCCACTGTATGGTGGACTCAAGTCAGGCAATAACACGCCTGTTATCAGTATTATCGATGTGACCACAAACAGAACGGCAAAGAGCCAACAGCGGGCCATAATAACTCCCCGCAAGGAAAGGAACACTCTGGGATCACAGATATATGCGCGCGAGAAATGCACACGGAAGCACCACTGCACGTCACACAACTAATAGACACATAAATAGTGCGAGAGCCACGCAATCTCCAACAGAAAATGAGTAAATGAGTGGAAGTTTTGTTGTTCAGCCCTAATCTATCAAGTTCTCGCTATTTGCCACAATAAAGAATACCGCTTGAACCTATATTGATAAAGCGCGGTGATAAGTGGTGTTATTCTGCGTGCATTCCCAATATTATATCGATTGCGCAACACAGATGTATGCCTTCTTGCTCCCTATTTTTAGTGTTCAGTATTCATTAGGACCATTGGTTAGCCATGTGCTATACGTAAGTGGGCACTGAACGCGTGAGGATACTTTGATGTCTACATATAAAAACTTTTTTTCGATATCTCACCACCCTTGATCGTTCCATGAGTTCTGGTCGCAACAGAATAGTTCACGCAATCCATCATATCTCTTTCACACTCGTATGGCAGTTTTCTCTGCCTTGTGTGCGTCATTGTTAGCCATGGTTATTTTCGCGCGTGGCGGAGCTGTACACTATCGGGTGCGTCCCTAGGTTGCGGATTGGGGAATGCCTTCCTTGTGGAGGTAACCGCGAATAAATTTCGTTTGCCTTGTAAGCGAGATGAATAAGCAATCGCGGACAATCAGCGGCGTCGTCTCAGAGCGTGGTGAGTTCTGGGCTGGTCACCTGATTTTCCGTTAACTACCACAAGAGCTCGTACGGCACTGTGTCAAAGCCAGTGGGACCGGCTATGGGGTCACTGACTATTCACTTCTGTAACCATAGGTGAGTATATAACGGAGAATGGATGAACAACCTTGTTGGCCACTGGCTTCTCTGTGGACTGCTACTGAACACAAAGAAGGCGAAGGAGCCACCCGGATGTCAACGGTTTTCCTTTATCGCTCCGCTGCCTTGCGGGTTAGTTCTTAAGACCAAAGGCTCGGGGTGGGGTCATTTACGTCAACCCTCTTCCTCGGCCTGGGTAACCAGGTAGATCTCTGCCCACACAGCACAGCCTACTAAACTTTTGAAATCCTTTCACTGACTACCTGTTTCCCCTTTTTGTTGTTGTTAACTGTGTTGTGGCACTACCAATTGTACATTGGTCAAGTGTTGAATAATAATACTAACAATAATAATAATACTAACAATAATAATATGGCTATTTTCGTGCAATGTTTGGTTGCATTTTACTTGACTGAAAAGTACACAAACCTCAATACTGCTATGAAAACCACACTCCTACCGTCAGTGCACGGACGTTATACACTACTGACACTGGCGACAATTCATGCTCACTTGTACCGCATTCCTCGACCTTTGCACGCTGAGTACACCATTTTAGTTGTTACCTACTGAACCGAATGATTGATCAGTATGTTTCCGATGAACTAACCACATCCAGCTCCACGTTGTTCGCACGGGCTTGGGAAATGCGCTATGTGCGGACCTTACATACTACAGGGGATTTTCAAGCGCGTGTGATCATTTGCAACGAGGCAGCAAGGGGATCTTTTACCTATGTGATCCAGGTTGGCTGCTTAGTTCATATTGAAAAGATGGTATTATTTCGGCTTGCGTCTCTCTATTCGACCACGTATTGGGGATTTCAGAGTTTACATACGTCTGTTCCTCGTGTGGATTCATTTGCACTCCAGCTATGGTCTCATATTGCGACAGCGTCTCCTTCCGTGCGTTTGAGCCCTGGCACACTCTCAAATCTCCCCTGTGGTGAAACCGATCTAAGTCTGCTTACCTTCGTTGTCCAAATGATGTGTCCGTGTTTGCTCTTTAGTCAGCCAACTCATGGCGCTTTCGAATGTTTTTTCTTACGACTGGTCCTCTTTGCCGTAATGATTCCATGCGTGTTCATAGTCCAACTAGATTTCCAAACTTACCTGCGCTCTAAGCGTGATAACGTCACACTATCCCATTTGAAAAGTTGCTTTTATTACCATACATTCGGTGTTTAGTTCCTTTTATATTTCGAATAGCATCTACCAAGGCAATAAGATAAATACACTTCGCTACGGATGATGTCAGAGGCATTGTGGATTGTCTGGATGCAACACGGGATTATCTCGTCTATAACGTATCTCATTCGTTTGCGAACACATTAATTTGATGTTTTGGAGCTTCGAACTTTTTCGTGCGTTCTCATTCACTCTCTCTTGCCTCTACCGCAGGCGTCGTATCCTGTTCGACCAATTTCACAGCATCCGCTATCCTTCTGAATATATCCCTCGAGACGATTTGACTCGAACTAGTGAACCTTTGGACTGGTGAGCGCGACCTCTAAAATGTTTTTTTGGTCATTACCACTGTTCCCAATTTCGTTTACAAATATTCCTTTATTAGACAGCAAGTTGCGTTTGACTACCCTCCGTTATTCTTTCTGTCATCGCGCTAGGATTGATGTTGCCGGTTCGGGTGGTTGGATTCCCCACGGTCTGTTCACAAAGTATCTACTGGCATACAGCTGTCAGTTTGGAGCTTAATGCTGCCGCACATTCGGACGCTCGTAATGAATCTGATTTCTTTGATATTGGTTAGTGAGTATTTCAGTGCGCTTTCGAATACATGTTTAGAAACTCATGTGTCCGGAACTTTTACCTCAACATCGACTTTGCCGGGATTTTTCAGACATAGCGGAGGTGTACAAACATTTCAATTCCCTAGAGCCACAACTGCTCTCCGACCTGTCCATCTACACCACTGCTAATCTGACATGGGGACCGATTTATTGTTGGTATTCTCATTTGCCACAAGTGTTACACTGTGTTCTTCATCTGCGATCGCACAGCTTCGAAAGGATTGTCTTGTTTATTACACACAGCATAGTGTACAAAGAAAACAAGATATTTCAGTTTGTTTTCTTGATGCTTTTCCAGCCAGCGATGTTCATCCTATTTCTTTAGATGAACCAACAAGTCTGTTCACGTTTGGTTGTCTCGGGCACCTACTACACCTACCCATCTCGACGAGCATGGTTTCGTTCACCCAATGTTGCATACTGTGGGGTTCATAGGGAGAAGTCATCGGCTTTTGGTGGGATATTAAGTCCCCATTTGAGTACTCTTTCGCTTTCCAAACTGTACTAAGTGCTAACTACTGTCTGCAAAACCTGAGACACTGCAAAATCTAGCGCTCAATCGGCACGACTCGCGTCTTCTTGTTGCCTTCTTGCCTAACAGTCTCCTGAAAGCATGCGCTGGTTATTGCACTGTGTAATCTGTCCTGTTACACTGTTTATGACTCGACCGTCACAAGCCACGAGGAAACTGTTTCACCTGTGTCACCTTAAATTCACACACTAGTTAGTATGATGTGTCCACTCTCACCAAACTTCGCATCATACATGACATTATGGGTGGAGCCAGGTTATCAATCACTGCCCAGTGTGTCAAGAGTTCACTGGTTCTGTTCCTAGTAAATCCAAGGGATACACGCCACTTACAAGATCAGATAACCTGAAATGACTGTCCACTGCCTTTTTGGATTTCTAAGGCGAAGCTGACTGCGACGAAGAATCAAAAGGCCACGCCGAAGCTTCCTACTCGCTAGTAATTGATGAAATATCTTTCGCCTCCTTGTTATCTTCTTTAATATATATTCTTATGTCAGCTGAGCAGTAATGCAAAGTTCCGTCAATGAAACAAGAAGTTCCCTTTGTTGTTCCAGACAGAAAAATTAAGAGACGTAATTTGTGAGATGACCTCGCCAAACACGCAGCATTGATGGATAAACCAAAACAGTGTCATATGAGATTGTAGATGACCAAGCGTTTGCACCACCAGAGTAGGCTTGGAGTCACTTTCAACTGTTTCTGAATGCTCATAGGTGGTTGTTCACGATTGATAATTATTGCCCCAAGTAGGTTAAGCATGGGGAGCCGTTGCTAGCGCATTAGGACTGCAAGAATCATCAACATTGGCTCGGTGCCCGGTGGTAAGCAAGTGCTTTGTGACTATCGAGTCACTTGGATTTTCCGATTCAACCCGTTCCGTCGACACAGATCCCATCCGGGGCGTAATCACTTGGAGAAGTGCTCCTTGATCCTGACACCTAAACTTCAATCAGTGCGCCCCAGCGTAGCTGTTTCCACAGCTACAGGCGTATTTCTATGTCCAGGGGGACATGAAGTCCTTCTTCATTGTTCATGTATATGTAAGCAGCTGCACTTCTTTTGCATTACACGATCTTTTTGGCAAACCACCTATTCATATCTTGGTGATTCACCTTTGAAAGGTAGCTCAATGAAGATTGGCTTTTTGAGACTTATTTGCACACGATCTGTTTTGGCTGCTTCATTGTCAGCGATTCGCCACTATTAGGTGGTGTGATTTAAACATCGTCTTGTCTTCGCTAATTTCTTCCACCATGGGTTCTAAGTCGGATTTTTAGCCAGTAATAGGTGTGTTTTGCATCTGTGAAATGTGACGCGTTTTCGGAATCTATTGCGAATTAATATTATCCCAACGAGTTTCGGCAAAAAAGCGGTGCTAGGGTTTTTTTCAGAGACACAATCGTAACGTTTGCCAACCAATCCTTTCCTGATAACATTATACATTCTAGTACACCTGGTGTATTCTGATATACCTTGATATATATATATATATATATATATATATAATATGGTACATATTCAAGTATTACGTTCCTGACAAGATGACTAATTGCACTGAATATCTTTGACGCCAGTTTTTATGGTTCTTGGTGTGAATAGGCACCACGGTTTTGCTATGCGCTTTGATAATCACCACGATAGCAAATAAGTATGTCGACTGCTACAACTGCGTTTCAAACGTCTCCCATGGAACCCTGTCCCTCACAGCTGGCTGGACTTCGACTTCTTCAAGTTCCCCGGAAACGTATGAATGCTGCCGGTACGGGGCGTTAACAATCACAAGCCTACCTTGTAATCCTGAATTTGCTGGTTCGAGTCTGCCTAAATGACCGGGCAACCCTTTCAGTATCCTAAACCCACGCACGGCTGGTGGTGGTACTGCGGCAGCAAAGCGTCTGTACTACGTACCGGCGTACTGATGCGGTCATTTTTTGGCGATAAACGTATGGGGATATGATCATAGTTCCTAATACGTTTTCTTCCGGGCGCATCTCGACATCCATCATAATACTTTACTCGGCGATTGCTACACAGTTTGTGGGTTCTTTTCAGTTCGTCTTTTAAAGCGCGATCAGGGCAAATTACACAGTTTACTTTCGTGGAGGCCACGGTTTCAAGTTAGTGGGTATGAAGTCGTATAATACTTATTGTATAAGGAACAAATTGTGAGCAATTCATCTCGTGTGTTAACAATCACTTGGGGACGAATCTTGAACCACGGTCAACGTAGAATGACCTGTCGCCTTGTTTTCTTTAACTAACTAAGCAAATAATTTGGTACGTTTCCCGACAAGCGGGATACGTTCCCTTTTGTGGAACGATATCTGTACAACGGGTTTCGTCATTATTTCATAAGAGGTTTCGTTGAATATGTACTAAGTGACATAGTTGATATTTTCATGTGTTTTTCGGACCGGATTCCATGAATGCGCTCTTGGATTGCTGAGGGTTAAAATGTTTGACCACATTTCGCAAGGAAAGTTTTGGAATGAGATTTCATAATCGACAGGCTCCGGCTGGTCCTTCGTTGCAACGATAGTTTATTCCACTGGTGTGCGTACGTCACCAAGAAAAAATTTCGACAGGTATTTTGCTTGGTCTTCTGTAGGAGTAGTAGACATTTCTTATTACATGTGGAATAGGTTGAGCCATTAGGTAAAGCGACTTCTGTACCGGTGGAGAAAACTCGCAAGTTTATTATGCTGTAGTGGAGAGTGAGGTTGCTTCTCAGCCGTCAACGCCAGAGTGGATCGAGCTGAAGATGAGAATATCGCTCTTCATAGGTAAGGGATGATGAACGCCCCATGAGCACTTTGGTAAAAGAGCGCTGGACGTTTTCCAAAGCAATTTTATCTGTTTTACGTAGGTGGTGCGATACTCTAGAGTGGGTCACACTATTATCTTGAATGATTCAAGTCATGTTTGGGATAGTGGGAATGACCTAGTGATGTAGCTTGTTATTCGCTTCGCTTTCGCTACTTGATATAGGATATGTTCGGAGAAGTTGCACCTGCTCAAATATCGAATTCCTAGGTTTCGAACAGAATACGCAGTTGGCATGTGAGTGCCAGTGAGAACGATGGATCCTTCTGGTATAGTACATCTGTAGCAGAGTATCTGAGATGTATCTCCGGAAAACCTCATTGACCTGCTTTCGCTCCACTTGTCTAGAGATGCATAGGTCATCGCGTATATTTCTTAGGCACAGTTCCAGATGGTCAGGTGAAAATGTCATCCGCACCTACAAATAAGCGCCCTTGTCTAATGTTGATGACGGAAAGCATTGGGCCCAATACACTGTCCTGAACGACACCACAAGTGACATTTTTAGAAGTAGAGCAATATTAACCAATCCGTTACCCTTTGTGTTCGGTCGTTTAGATATGATTCGGACCAGCTCAATAGCAGGTTGTTGGCTTCATGGTATTCAGGCACAATCAACAATAATTTGTGTGGTACACAGTCAAACGCTTTTTGCCTATCCAGAAGGATAATAATGGTGACAATGCGACAATTTAAGATTACTGTAACAGGATCGAGTAATTGTAATTGGCATGTGACACAAGAACTTTTGTTGTGAACCCATGTTAGGAACTGCTGAGCAGATTTTGTCTTGTTAGGAACTGTGTTACCAGTGTCTTGACGATTCTAGGACCTTAGAGGCGGCGGAAGTATGGTTTATCGGTCAGTGGTTTAACATTCGATCCCGTAGATCGGCTTTGTGTTTTGGCCTAATTCTGAAATTTTTCCACTGTCAACAAGTAAACTGTTCTATAACGAACCTCCTTATTTCTCACTGGCTGTCACTGTTGGCTAGCTTTAACTATGGTGTATTTTAGGTGGACAACGCTTAGAATCTACGCGCTTCAGCTGCGGTCCCAGTGACCGAATTGGCCGTGGTTTACTTCAAAGCGATTCGTCTTCCACATTGAGTTAGGATGTTGCAGTCACCGTGCACACTCCACACCTACCAACATTGGAACCGACTTGTTTGATGAGAAATATTGCATAGCGAATACGTCAGCCTCACTTGTTCCTCTGTTACTTCCTTCCTCCGCGCTCACTTCACAACTAACATGTGTCTTCATGCAGCAGCGCTTAACATTGACCTGTTTCAGACACGTCCCTAGTGACGGAAGTGGATATAATTCACTTCAAAATGGGTCACAGTCCAGACTAGGGTTGCTTGTCGCATTCCACCCAAAATCGAGTACTTCGAAGTTTTCCCCTTTGGGGTTTTTCATGAGTTCTTCTAACTTTTTGATTGTATCCATCCTTTGATTAAACTAGTCAAGTAACAGCTGTTGCTATGTATTTTTGTCTCACAGTAAGAACTGCTCATTGCGCAAGATTTCTCGTTGGAGAATTTTCGATTCGCTCTTCACTTACTCATTTTTCATGCTATCCTTCCGATGTTGCATTGCTCCTGCCCTTGTGTACCCTGCTTCTCTCTGTTCCGCAGGTTGGGTGATCACATTCACACGAACATGCGCGATATGTACATACATTTGATTCGGGCGGGCTACTATGTTGAAATCCTCAGTGAACCGTTCACATGCTTTAACGCGAGCAATTACGGTAAGTTTGCACGCTTTGGTGTGTGTGCATGAGTGTAGCGTCTTCCCCACCATCTGTTCCGTGCTCATTTAGACTGCGCTGTATCCTTGGCCTGTCCTCCACACTCGAGACTATTGTATTTCTTCACCACGTTCATTGGCATCAGTTCCCATCACGTCACACTTAGCACAGGCTGCATACCTTTCCTCGATGTTTCCAGTTGGGATACTTTTTCCCCTCGAACATCCGCATCTTATGCTGCAACAACCCAATAATCAGGAAGAGCAGTTTGCTGGACAGGAAACATCCGTAATGTACTTCAGGTCTGACGACATACGATGCCACTCATTTGCGTCGTTGCTGCTTGGGTCTTTCGTTGAGCGCTGCTTCCGTCTTTACTCTTGGTGCACTTTCATCTGAGGTCTTCCGGTGTTCACCCTTTGTTAAGCTACTGGTTCAGCTCATAGCTGAGTCACTCCAGTCCCGATTGCCCGCTCTTCTGATGCTACTGGCTCATGTCGCAGTAGTACGTACTCTTTGCGCAACACAATACGTATTGCTGTTTACCGTATAATTGAATTCGAACGCTCACTCTCAATAGTTCTTTATATCGATTCCTCTTTTCACTCACAGACTTTCTATGCTCTCGCTCATTCGTACAGCACAATTCACACTGACATTCTACCTCATATTTTCTTTAGGCGCGCTACTTTTAGTTGACCCAGAGGAGGAATTCTTTCCGGAAGAAGTGCACAAGTTGTTTCTCGATGTAACTGAATCCCAGCTCTCTTTGATTGTGTTTGCTGAATGGTACAACACAAGTGTCATGCAGAATTTGCGCTTCTTCGACACAAATACCCGACGGATGTGGATTCCTGAAACGGGCGGTGCAAACTTGCCGGCTTTGAACGACCTGCTGCGCCCGTTCGGTGCTCAACTGGGGTAGGTTAGTGTTAGTTGTGTCTATAGCACACGATGACGAACCAGGGGATTTTCTTTGCACTGGACTGTTCTCCGCACTTCATCCTCCTGTTCCGTTTCGTATAACCACTTTGTATAACCACTTTGCGACTGTGATCCCCTCGGTTACGTTAATTTCATCTTGAATCCCCTTTTTGTAGTGGTCGTTTCACACAATTACGCTCACAATTTTTACGCGTTCTACTTGGATGCTACCCAGGTTGAGGTACTTTCACTCCGCTCAAATTTCTGATGTTCCCGTTAGTATTCAGGACCACTAGAATTATAGCTTCAGTTCGAAAATTTGTTTTTTTCAACTATCTACGCATACGCCATTGTCAGACTTAGCGTCCGAGCATTTTAAATCTACCCTAGTTAATACATGGTATCAGTATCTGATTAGCACCTGTAAACCCAGATGCGCGAGGCTGTATTGACCACATCTTCAGATTATGTCAACCTTTGAAGCACCGCGATATTTATCTTCGACTCACCGTAGCCATGTTCCTCGACATCAAATATACCTTTGATTCGGTTGATCAATGTCTGTTCAGAAAAGGTGTACCTGATATGCATGTAAATGTCATAAAAATGATGTACGAGCATGGTTCGGGTGGAGTAATGGTTTATTGCAAGCTCTCGCCGCCTTTCAATATTTCCTGTGGTGTAAGATAAGGATGCCCGCTATCACCTCCGTTATTGACGAAGTCATTCAAATGGCATCCGCTGAGCTCGACGTGCAAAGTGTGGAGTTGCTTCCTGATGAGCGACTTCTTGACCTGTAGTATGCTGACGACGTTACTCTAATCTGTGATAGCTCACAAACGTGCCAAGCTGCACTGGATAAATTAGCTCTTGCTGTCAGTCTTTTCAAGCTCTGCCTCACATTCTCGAAATGCAAATTTCTCTCTCAGATTGGCAGGTACTCACCACTGCGCTGACCCTTGGTTGGGATCAGTCAGAAGTGTTCCGGAAATTTAAGTATCTAGGCAGCTATATTAGAGCTGGTGTAATAGAAAATGACATCACCGGCCGTACAATAAAAGCTGGGTACACTTTTTCTGATCTTCGCCACCTGTGGCGCCGGCGTGACATCACTCGCTCTGAAGGGCAGAGTTTACGATGCAGCCGTCCATTCATCCTTCCTGTTCGGTTGCGAAAACTGGTCCATCAGCTTGACAAACATAAAGCGGATAGTTACTTTCGATCATCGTTGTCTTCTTAGTTTATCTCATGTCTGATACGAGCGCGTCATGAGCAATTAGCTTGTTCGACGTCGCGTATTTGGTGCAGGAAGAGCGAGTGAACCGCTCAGCACCATTATATCACGCACATGGCTCCGGTGACTGGGCCACGTGTTGCTCATGTCCACACACCAACTGCGTGGTAGATTCTTTTCGTCACCGTGGTCTGGACGGAAGAAAAGGAGGAGAGGCCAGGTGATGACTTGCTCGATAGAAATGAAAACCCTCACTTCCAAGTTGGCGTCGATTAGTGTCCACAGACAGCCAGGCTCTGCTCCGAAGATCGATGAACACGTTTGGTTGGATGCACTCGTTGACATAACGGCGTTTATCATGAGTTTTTCTATCCCCATCACGATGATCTTCCTCCTCCAACCATGATCTCAGCCTTAAGCCATAAATTTTCTTCCCAGTTTACTGTTTGCTTTTTGCATTCTGTGATGTTTTGTATTTTGTTTCTTGCGGCATGTCTTTTTGTATTCTGGCACAACAGTTGTATTTTGTTTCTCACATTTAGTCAGTGCGTAACGATGGTGATGGTGACGTCCAAATTGCGTCCTTGTAGAGTGGAGGAAGTGGTCCAGTTGAGTAACATCCCTTGACGATACGCGTGCTCACACTTTATTTGAGAATCACGATTTATTTTATAGGGATGTGGCTCACTGCATGCTACCTGTTCCTTTTTCTTATTTATGCGACCGACGTTTGTAGCGCCGCAGTCATCAGAGCCGTCATCAGAGTGATCGGGACTGCGAACGTTGTACCGGTTGCCGGACTGCGTGCCTATCCCTGCCCGTTTCTGCTCACCTGGATTAGCAACGACTCACTGCCAGTGTTCTTGTGGTTATTTTTGTCACAACACTATGCGCAGCGATATCGCCTTCAACTTGGTGCTTGTCGATCATTATTTAAACCTTTTTAAGGTGCTTTATTTAGTACACGGTCAGAAAACCCCACAAGCATTGGCGCAAATGTCGTTAGCTAACCAGTGGCCTGGTGCCTCTGGTGTCTGATCCACGAGTCGCTGGTTCGAGCGTGCGGGTAACCTCGCATTCGACTGATCTTGGTCGCATGGCAACGAATTGTCGGTGTGAGTTACCATAGTACTGTTGTTTTTCTATCTCTTCCTTTGCGCAAAACCGGCTACAGGCCCGCTCTTGCACGTGGGTGTGGTTGGGGAAAACGGTTTCTGTTGACCCACTGACTCGAGAGTAGCAGGAGCAGCGATAGCCACATGTGATTCGCTATTCTTGATTTATCCTGATTGGCTGAACTTCGCGGAACTCTGACCGATTAGTGGACATCTGTGCGTGTCGTCATTCTGGGCAATTGTACGTTCCACATGTCTCCTACAATACACTACTGTTACATCTACGTTCTTCTGATAAAACACCACACTGGTTTCCACTGCAGTGGAAGTTGCGGTTGCTTTATCTGTGCGGACGGTCTACTATGGTCACTTTCCATTCATCTGACTGTATTTTTGTAGTACATTTTATTTCTTGAATATGTGCCAACGAGTTCTTCTCTTATCGAGAATTCCGCCACTCGGTCATTTTGACGAGTTAATTCACGGTCGTTCCGCTTTCTCGTAATTTCTTAAGCTAAATCAAAACACACACAATCGTTCGCATCTTGCCTTATCGGGAATAGAAATTCTAACGAATATGCGATCGATGTTCTTGATTTATATTAGTTTTATTGTTCCCTTGGCGCCGTATCAACAAATAAAACGCCTTGACACGTGACCTCCCTTCCTAACACGCCTTGTCGCTCGATCTATTTCTACCTTAGCTCTCATTAACTTTACTGAATCACCATTTGACTTAGTCGAAGATTTCACCTCTGCTGTTCATGGCATTGCTTTTAATTAATACTTCATCCATGTAACGTTCATTCCGCTTTTTCATGTGTAGTATCTCTATTGTGACGATGAGCTGCGTATTGAAAACAGTGGGCGGTTGGTTGTCTCATATCCCCAGTGCTCACAATGGTTTTCTTGGCTAGCTACTTGATACGGAAGCCCGCTAACTGGTCACCGGTCACTTGTTGATCTCCGGCCCTGTGCTGGGCTGCTTGATCACTGTTCGCATTCTCCTCAGCTCTGCTTACTTTGGATATCTTGGAATTCAGGGCGGCTTTATTTTCAGACATTGATTATGCTCTGCACCATGATTTCGGTCACCGGAGGTTCCTTAAGCGACCACCTACTCAGGGTTGAAATGTGACATGTTCACGAGTGACCATCTAGATCTACTACTGGGCATTCCGATCGGCTGGATTGCACATACTACCTTCGTGTTTGAATAGACATCGATCCGCGTGTGATTTCCTCCTTGACCAATATCCTCCCACTGGATTCAGCGCAGGCTTCACTCGCACCGTTTGCTTGCACGTATTATACTCCTTGCCTAATAGTACCGCATGTTCGATCATAATGTTTGCTCCTGTTTCCCTACAACTGAGTTCCTGATTTCACGTAGACTTAACAACTGAATCTGGGTTTCCCTTTAACGTGTCTTATCCGTTTACATTGCTTCAACTTCACTTTCGGTTATCCCCGATTATAGATTTTTTGTCCTCTCCCGAGGATGTTTTCACATACTGCGTATTTCACCGGAAGCCGGTCGGGAGTATCACTGTTTGCACCCTCACGACAGCTTGGACTGTAAAACACTAATCGATTATCAATGTCATCAATCTAGCATAACTGGTCACCTACCTTTGGGGGTTATCTGTAGAATATCCCGTAGTAGGCTGAACCACAATACTTTGGCTGATGTTTTTTAAGCAACACCTGACAGCAGACCTCCGTGAGCATCTTTTGTTCTTGACAAATCAGCTGCTGTATCTTCGCACTTCTTTCAAGTGTAAATTTGCTGTGCTTTATTCACGGACTATTCAATATTGTACCTATCTTTCTCACTTACACTTTTAGGGATGCTGTTTACGCTGGTCATTTGTCCCTCGGACATCGAACTGGTGAGTTTGTCGCCTATTTATCCGCATTTCTTGCATCACGCACGGGTTTCGGATTACATACGCCCGTTCCACGTGCCTGTTTTCTTAACCAGTTTTCACAGCGACACGTGGACCTTGAGATCCTGTGCTTGGGGTGTTTAATGGACAACACCAATTAGCTGGTGCGTCGTGTTTCTTTTTACGGTCTAACCCAACCTATCGGATGATTCATTTGCTTTCCAAATACCAAAATCACATTATTACTCTCCATTTATCCCTAATCATATCTCCGGTCATCTTGTTATTAATTACAAATTACTTAAACTGGAAATCCTCATGCGTTGTTGGGAGCACATCATTCTCCCTATCCTCTGAGCCGCAGTTATGGGAATCAAGAGCTTACGATTTATAAGCTCGGCTCCACAGGCTACTCCTGACGCCTAGCGATTATATCGATTATTTACTAGTTTGCTGCAACCTAGCTCAGCACACCATCAGTTGACACTTTTGCATTGTGTCTTTTGACAAGTCGGAAGACCTATTTTGTTTAGTCATAATCTTTCATATGCAATCGACCGCAAGCACATCTCTGCGGAAATCAACAAATGCTTTGCCGACCTGGACCTTCATACTACCACCGTCCGTCTATTTAGTCTGATATTGGATGGGGTGATTCTCGAATAAGGTCCACGTGTTATCACAGACGGTCTGGAGACAACTTTGTAACCACTACTCTCACCACGCTTTATTCTGCCCATCCTCCTTCATTACACATCTCTTCCGTCGTCAGTCAGCAGATGGCGACTTCAGTCTCAGCAGCATCTATTTAGAGTGCACTTCAATAGTTATTCAAACCTAGAATTCCATTTCATCTGTTCTTTAAATATCCCTACTACATCATGTTGACCAATAAATGACCCTCGATCCTCACTCCCCTTGCGTATATGAGAGAGTAGCGTGTTACCACAGTTTTCACTATCAGACCCAGACTTCGATGTCTGATTGTCTCCTTATCGTCTTGGTGACACTTCATAATAGACCCCAAACACTCACACTGTCAGAGTTGTAGTTAGTAGCGTAATTAGGTGCAGTTTATTCGAGCAGATCTCAGCGAACTGCCGGATGTTGACGATTTCACTTTGAGCCTTCAGCAAAACTTGATGCCTCTTTAGTGTTTTCGTGCGCGACCTTTGACATTGCATCCCGTAGTCGGTGGAGGATGAATTCTATCTACAGCTACCATTCAACGGACAGAAAAAGTCAAATATCCCGATACTTTCTGGATGCACAAATATCCTAGTAAGCCACTCATCGAGTATCAAGCTGTACTCATGAGTCTGATTTTGTATCTGTGCCTAGCACACTGGTAATAGTCATCAGCTTCATTAGCTCTGCCCTTCTCAACATCACAGCTTCCGTCATAAGTGTTTGTGTCGCATCCCCTGGCCATAACCCTACTCTAATCCACCATGGAGACGACTTTTACGTGGTGCGATAACTCGTGTATCTTGGTAGTCGATTACGCCACGCTGGGCGGCATCTACCGCCTGAAGAGGACGCCAACCTACTCCGGAAGATGGATGTATCTGATAGACCGCCTAACGGGGCTATAATTAAATTAATGTTTTATACAAAGAATACTAGGAACGCTTCTTAACACATTCTGCGAACCACCAGGTTCGCAAGTTGCACTAGTTAGTACTTAGAGATTAAGACTACCACTACTCCCAATTCCCACAAACCGTCAGCCAATAGACTGACGGCTGCTACATTCACGCAGTTGACTATGTCTGTAGGCATCCACCTATATACCAGTTACAGCCTGCACCATCTTTAGAGTCGGTGATCTGATATTATAGTTGGCGATGGTAACATGGACATACGTTTAGGCAGTCACTTCAAACATGTAATCTCCCGGAAACTTCCTGTTTTTTGAGGGGGGGAGGAGGAACCATCAATAGTGTGCTTGTGCGTCACACCAACACTTCGCTGCCACTCGATTACCACGGCTCGTGCATTGGCTGGGGATACTACGAGACAGCCCGCACCTACGCAGCTTCGAACCGGTGACCTTTGGGTCACAATGCAGACGCCTCCTCCCTTCGGCTGCCGGCCCACTCTTTCTTGATAGCTCTGCGATGGAGCAATGGTTAGTAACATGTGAAAGCTTAAGCACCTAGCGTGTTCCCTAGTTTACTCAGAGTGACTACTCCATACTAAAAATCTGGTGTCAATAACTTAAGGCACCTATTGTTGAACTCGCCCAGAGTCTCACTTTAACACAGTTGTGCTTACTTCTGCATCGTTTTTAAGGGATTGTGATGAATACGCAATTTGTTTGGTGTTTAGTTTTTTTTCACTCGATGTGCACCGGCTGCGTCACTGAGTGTAGCTGTGTTAGTATGTGTTCAGCTTGTCTTCCGAATAGGGCTGGGATGCGTTTCATAGCTGAGACAATCGGTGAGAAATAAAATGCAATTGATATTCCTGACGATTGTAGTGTGTTGCCAGTTTAACCTATTGGACCGGACGGTGTCCATAAGGATTACGTGCCTGTTGTAACTCGGTGATCGCCGTTTCGAATCCTCTGGGCAGTTCCAGCCCAAGTTAGTAGGAAAGGTGGGCAGACCGCACGGGGGATTCTGTCTTGCATGCTACGACTAGATGAACTGACCCGGATGCAAAAGCTTTTTGAACCATCATAGAATCGCATTTCAGATGGACCAGCACCTGCTTTCTCGTATCCAGCTTCTGTGATGGGACTTTTGCGTTCGCCTGCACCTTGTACTGGAGACGCGTTTATGTACCGATCTCTACGGCTAACTAAAAGGTTACAAATAGGAATGAAGCATTTAAATCAATCTTTGAGTGAGCCTAGTTGAAATCGTCTTCATCCACAATTGACGGTACTGTTGTATTTGGGAGGTCCTCAGCATCACTTTCAGCTAGCTGATGGCGTTAGATTCAGGTAGTGTGCGGTAAGCATTGTTTGCTAAACTTTTCTAGGTGTTCGGATAACTCCGGTAAAAGTTCCGGTCACCTTTGGGGAAATAAATTTAGTATGTTGTTGGTGCTCAACAGAAGAAGAAGCAACATGACATTCCACTTCTCACGTTGTCTGACCTGGGCAACCATGAGCAGGTCCTCGTACCGCTTTTACCACGATTCACACGTTGCGAGGGCGTTAGGGTTCTCATGAAACTCCGAGGTGCTAACCAGCAACATGGACCACCGATTCGGAAATACCAACGGAACCGGACTAAATGGAAGCACTAAACGGTTTATCGCCCTTGCGGGCTCGCATTTGCGGCGATGTTGAAGCGTCCATTTTAACTCAGCGTACCCGTATGTTGTGCTCCGAAAACGCCATCGTCCGTTTCTTGTATCCTATTCCATGTGCACGAATCAAATGACCATTTCGTATTGTTTCTCACTCTCAGAATAGCTAAGTGAAATTCAGATCGACTGCATCCCCGTGAACCCTAACAAAAGATTCAAAGATAACAGCCCGACGGATTAATCCCACCCGAGCGCAGCTAAGGCTGTTCCCACGGCTAAATAACGAATCAGCAAAAGGTAGATATGTCTGACATTTATCGTTGGAGACTCAACCAAAATGGGACGCAGTACAATAGATTCACAACGCACGTCATGAGTTTCGTCAAAGGAAGGCAGTTATGTGCCAGTGATACCCTGCCACAATATCCTGACAGATTACTTATGCCATATGTCAAAATAATCTCATCCTTTCGTTCATATTAATGCTATTTTTGCCTTCTGACTCCTTGCACTGTGTTGCTATCCACGCGTGGTTTCGGCGCGCATCACCGACTACCTTAGTCTTTCTCAAGCTTGCATTTCATCTTGATCAGCGTTGAAGAGTTGTCTTCCGTGAAGTGGTTGGCGTGTTGCATCCCTAGGGAAAACTTGCTTTTTCGGAGTAGTCCGAATCTTTTTCTCTCGCTACCAGTTCATCTAAAAATGTTTCATCACCTCCACATTCACCGCTACATATGTATTCTGTCTTTTTCATCCATTTTTCGAGCATTTATTCCTTTTCCCTCCCCCAATGCATCATCACATCTTACGTTGTATCACATTTCCAGTACGGTACACCTCCGGTTCAAGCCTGATACAGTTTCCATGCACGAACATTTCTTCTGTTTCCGGGCGCGGTGTGCTCTTGTATCACCGGTTGGTCGATTTGGGGGAGCAGCTTATAAAGCAGCCACCTCAGAGTGCGTCCAAAACCCATCCATCCGCTTCGAACCGGAAAGAGGATGCAGCGTCTTGGAGACTTGTTGCATCTGACACCGATCCCGAGCCTCCTGTGTTGGGGTTGTGGACGCCTGACACGTCACCTTCCTCATCCGGTCGTCTCGTTGTCTATGGGGATTCAGACTGCTTGAGCTCAACTCACCTGTCAGCAGGTATGTGATCCCACCGCCTCGGGAAATACATCAAAATCTCATATAGTACCTTAATCGGCGCCACAAACGTTTCAAGTCCTGCTCGAGCTGTAGAGCGACCAAATTTAGTTCCTATGTGGATCAAGATTCTTGAATGACAGGGTTTGATTGTTTTACTGCTAAGATTGCTTGCAGTATGGGCGAATTTCACCGAAAAATTTTATAGTTGGCTGGTTTTCGCTTCCTCCATTGATCTGGATTGCATCTGTACAGGTGGTTGTACGACTACGGTTTCCACGGTCCCATGATGCGAGATCGGTCGTTTTCGAGGCTCTCCGGATGTACGGTTATTCAGCATGGTGTTTGGGCCAATCGGAGATAAGCGTCAGCGACCAGTTATTCGTTTTTTTTGTTCAGTATCGACGGACCTGCGTGTAGTTTTTTCATATATAAGATTGTATGGTAATGACCGGTTCACTACATGCGCCCCTCTAATGATATCTTGCCACCGGAACTATCCAAGCTCATGCGTTGGGGTGTTTTGCACGCGGAGGTGAACTTATACTGTCTCTGTAAACTGCACAACCATCGTCCTCGTTACCAGTCTCCCACCTAAAACCTTCATGTAACCATCAGCTATGATTTTTCGTAATCGCTTTGAATAACAGTACAGGTTCATACTTTCAGTGATCCTCGATGTCAGGACATATCTTGTGGCTGTTGGTTTTTTACGGACACTTTAGGGCCAGGACCGGTAGTCGGAGTATTTTACGCGGTCCATTCACCCACTTGTCTGCATCGCAGTTGGCGGTGATTTAGAGCGAACTTTATAAACAAACAGTGTGTTATTGGACAGTATGAGACACGGTCCAGGTGGTCTGTCCGATCCAATTGTACAGATGGATCATCGTCAAGAACCACTTTTGTTTACGTTGTTCACAAGAGTAGCAGTTCCGAGGCAATTCCTCTGTCGTTGAACCATTGAGGGAAGCCGAGAGGTATACAAATTGGTATCGATGGGGATTGGGAATCATTTAGTAATTTGTACGCTGACACCTCTGGACAGGAATTAAAACTTTTCAGAAATGCAGAAATAGGTAGCTTTCAAAAAGATAAATCATGACAACCTAATATGTGCGCGACGCGTTAGACAACTGTACAGTATGAATACATAAATAAATTTTAAAATACTCATCAACCTAAGAAGATGCGTCGAAGATTATCACTGCTAATGATCTCGGGCCGGAAGCATCATAAAAGCGCCAAGTAATCGTTTTTTGTTTGCCATTGAAGAGATTTTATCTCAACCACACAACAATTAGTTATCCAGGTAACAAAAAGTGCACTGCACAGTATCAGATTAAACATGCATCGACTTATTTCTCAGCTTTCAACTACATCTATTAGTGGGTGTGGCTCGCTTTTTGCTCTGTTCGTCGAGGATCTCATTCAGCACCAGCAGTGCTCGTAGGTAACGGCTCCGTTGTGCTTCACTCAGATCGAAGGCCTGGAGAGACGACAACAAGTGAGGCATAGTTCTACTGGCAATGCTACAGTCCTCTTAGTTTCATGCCTAGGAACTGGTTAATTGGCATACTTGAAGTTGTTCCATCCCTGATATCCTCATCCCTTTGCATCAGCTTTGTTAGTCACCAAGAATGACAGTCAATTTATGTGCTTTCATTACCATTGCATAACCCTTAAGTTGGCCGTTGTCTAAATTCGATCACATCCGTCGATGACACTGCCTTCTCTAGTGCACAGGTGAAGCTTTGTATATGTGTATGTATCCGTCGTGTGTCTGCATTGTGTACAGTACGGTTATCGTCGATTGGGACACTGACTGTTTGTTAGACGATGAAACTTATGCAGCGACTCCTCATTCTCGCCGGTATTCCCTTTCAGATTGTTTCTGGTTGTTGCGCGCGTTACTGCAGTTTGTCACTAGCGACTACGGTCGCATTCCACGCCCAATTGCTGACAAAATCGTCCCTTCTCCATGTTCAAGTCTCGACTCTCGGGCCGGGGTCCCCCTACGGCGAGCAGGTGAGTTTGTCTGCAACGTCACATCTTTACCCACCATATTATTCTGTTTCGATTTCACCATGCCCCACCACGCACTACCTTAGCACCGGGTGCACTGTTACTAATCTGTGCCGGATGCGATCTGTGTCCTCGTGATTCTTTTGTGTTACCGCTATGTCTTTACTTTTCGGATCTTTTTCGGTCTACTTGCGTTCCCGACTATTGCTTGTCTTCTGGTCACTTGTGAGCATGGTTATTCTTTCATGCCAGTCAAATTAAAATTTAAATCCGGTTCCCGATTCTTCACTCGCATTTGATTGTTCTTCGTTCCCTTCCTTACTAGTGCTTTGCAACGCTTCATTAAAATCTTTTTACTCTAATTTGTCCAAACATCACCAATTTTGTGCAGTCTTCATTATACAAATTGCTAAACCTTGTTAATCGGATATCTGCGTTAACGGAGTCGAAGTATGGCACGCTATACCATCATCATGTGTTCTCTAAGATGCCCCGGTCAAGTGTTGGGCTCCCGTGGTCGTGCGCATTGCCGACACCTTTCGGGGGCCGTTCACTTCCTTTACGTGATCGGAGCTTTCTTCGCTTTACCGACTACAAGCGTTACCGAATGTCTGTTGGGGCTTACCCGTGTCACACGCGGTGTACCCAGTCCACGCGCGACCCGTGGTGCTCACATGGCAGCGAAACGTCAGTCCGGTGAACCGGCGTATTGTTGACGTTATAAGTACAAGTGCTTGCAACTTGGCGACTGCCAAGCATCGTTCTCTCCTTAATGACCGGATATGGAACCTTATGCGAGGACTACCAGGCAGTTGGCCTTGTTGCAATATATTTCGTATTACGGCAGCCCAGTGGTACGCGAGCAAAGAGACTATGTGAAACAACACGAACGAATTGCTGTGGTCACCTTCCTTGTGTTGAGTGCCGATTTAATCTAACCTTACCTTTTCACGACTCTGTTTCACTGAAGCATTGTCATTGGGACACCTTTGTATCCCGAAATCTCCATACTGCAACCATCATTGGAAATTTTGTTTCAGCACTTTCTGTGGAATAAGTGTTCTCTCGTGTATCCGACCACCCAACTGGCAGTATACGAGCGATACCGCTTTATGTCGACTGGCCTGTAATCTTGTATCGTTTATGTTAGGGTTAAACCAATCCTAACTAACCCAAACCATCAATCACTGTATTGTACACATCGTCATAGCCAGAGCAGCGTTCGCATTGGGCATCATGGGCTGACGCAGTACCGCTGTCCAACTTCAAGCCTGTAGCCCAACTTGGTCAATTACATGCATTCTCGAAATGTGCCCATTCTATTAGTACTGGGTTGCAATGGTTCATTATTCGTTCCGCTTTATCTCTGACACTACAAGCTACCGGTCTTTACTGTCCGAACAGCAAACGGCGACAAATTGGTTTACTCAGTTCATCCCCGTACGATCTTACGAAACCTCATCCGCAAAAGGCACAGCACCTAAGTTCATCTAATCTTACCGCATTCGTTAAGCTCATTAATGCGTGCTGAAAAACTTAGGATACTGGGTGCGTTTTATGATTGATTTCTGCAAAGTATTGCTCTTATATAGTGAAAGCTACGAATGCCTTCCACACTTGTCCGCTAGTCGGTGTTTGGTCTCAAACCGACTGTTTCCGCACTAGATTCAATCTGGGTGTATTTTTCTACCTCTGCTTGTGGTCGGACGCACTTTAAGAAATTCTGCTCGATGGTCTATCAGCAGAGCACGAATTAGCTGACATAAGATCTGCTTCCTTTCGGCTCCCTTCAGTTGGGCCTCGGGACCGCGTACATCATTTTCGTTTGTATTCTGTCCAACTCAACATAGTGGTGATTTCTGTTGCTGCTCCCTCAATTTCTCTCAAGCGTTTACCCTTCTTTTCGACCATTCCAACGTATCTTATTCCCTACTCGTTGAGTACTTCACCGAACTGGACGATTTAATTACAGGTATTTACAGGTGCTTCATCGCCAGTAGATGTGACATAATCAGTGCAGTAGAGCTGTTGAACACTTCGTTGCAGATACATGTGGGAGGCCAACTATAGCATTGATTTTGGCTCGGGCAATCAGTCACTGTAGACAAATAGATCTCAGGCGAAGCACAAATCGTGGTTCGAACCAGAACAAACCAGTGCATAGAGGACGAGCGGACCAGTCGACGTAAATCAAGGCGGATAGTTTCATACCTACTGCGCCATCCTTGGATTTTCCTGCCACCTGTATCTGCAACCAACGTACTCCAACTCCGACACTTCAGATATCACCCAGACGTGTGACGAGACGTCTATAGTCAGATTTCCCTACCCGGTAGACTGCTAAACAACAGATTAGCCGAACCGAAGTACCACTAGGTAGGTATCTGAACTACCTCGGCACACTGCAACGACGCTTCGCTACCACGTGGCCATCATCGGTTGTGCGTGGGCTGGGTCTACTACGAAGTTACCCAACCTAAATGGAATCGAACCGGTGACCTCCGGATCACAAAGCAAGTATGTAATCCTTTTAGCCACCGGCAGTGCTATCATTCCTTTGAGTTGCTACCTAATCCTCTTCACATTGAATTCGTCTATTTCTATTGGCTGTCCTTTTCGCCATCACAGGAAGGTGGTTTGTTTCAACTGCATCCACGATACTTCTATGCTCAGATCACATTTCTTTGCTTTAACCGGGCCACCGTAATCAAGTTGATCTTTCCCGCGATTGACTAAAACCACACTAATTCTTTGTTGAAGTGAAGCGTATCGCATGGTGGGTCTAGTCCCCCGGTAGATAGTCATCATCCCTACGTTTCCGCACTGTCAACTGTAACCCTCTCTCTCTCTCTCCTGTTGTTGGTGCCTAATATTGATGTTGACTTCTACTACAACTTGGGCGGGCGATATTGGGTTTATGTTGCTTTTGAATTTGTTCTTTCATCTTTATGTTAGGGGGTCTTTCCACGCACGCACGTATTGGATCCATGGTAGGTGAGGAAACGCTGTCCTCTGTTATCTCTATGGGTACCGATTTGTGATAGCTGGCTAGTTGCATTATTTTCTCAACAACCCTAAGAGGCGGCTTCTTACACCAGGTTGCTTCCCATTGTGAAGTAAATTAGACGCCGTCGTCGGAAATATTTTTGTCTTGCAAACCACTTTAAGTGACCTACCGTCTCAATCCGTTGTGTTCAGGTCATCGGTTGGTAATATTTCTTGCCACTTGCAGAGGGCAAACGAAATCGGTTGATCGTGGAATTTACTTGAACCGGAGATCACAGTCAGGTTGCTTGCGGTCGTCACTGTGGGTTGGGTCACTGTCAGTTGGAAAATATTGATGCCAGAAATTTACTTATTTCCCATTTGTGTTCGCAGCGCTTCCCTTTTCACCTAACCTTAATAGACTCATTCACAAGTTCTGTACTCCTACTCTAGTGTACTCAAACTGCTTTCAATGTGTCCATTAGTGAGGCGGTATGTACCATGCTTAGAATGATGTTGCATACATCATGCTTCTTAACCGCAGTTGGGTCACACCGACTTACACTCGAACTAGATCTTCTTAATTTGGATACAAAGTACTTGCTCATTTCTGTTATTCTACTGCATATTCCGTCAATTTTGCTTATTTACTTTTCTCCAAACTCTATGTTGGTTGTTTGATATCCGCGCTGTGGCTGCGCTTGGTTTGAATGTTGAAAATGTGCCTACCTGTCTAACGCCGTCCACCTGGATTACTGACTCCAAGAGACTGTGAGTCGTTGCTGGGAGGTGCACGGTCCTCGGGGCCATGCTAGACTCAATAAGTAGTTCCATTCATCCAGTGTGGGGCGGACTACGTTCTAACCATCGTTTTGTGTACGTCTGTTTTCGAATGATTCCCCACACAGATAGATAGGAATACTCCTGCTGTACATGTTAAAGAATTGTGAGCCGGAGACGATGAAACGGGGTTTTCATCCTTGATGCCTCCTGGTCTTATTCCTTTGGGTTTACACTGGATATGGGATTTGTGGGTGGTGCAGTGCAAGCCACCCGTGGTCCCTTGGCTGTCCTTTGGAAGCCGCAGTGACAGGCAAATCCGGAACCTGATGCCGCCAATCGTCTATCATGAAACCGAACCCTAATGAGTCTTATAGAAAAATCAGGGTGATGGGACTAGTATCGACGTATTGGAACTCTTCGATCTCCTATACCTTGCCCTGGGTGATCAGGCAATAGACGGGCATACCATACTCTAGCATTTGTCTTATTATTGAAGAAGAGTGGCGAGTGGCAGCCACTTCTGACCCATTACAGTAACTACGTTTGAGCCTCCAAAGCATGCGCAGTCCGTTTCGGTGCAGCTTATTGTTGTCCACGAACTTCAAATCGCAGCGTGAGAGCGCGAAAAGGTCCTTCATAGATGACAATAGATTCGGCCGTAGTTTTAAAGCTCACAAGCCTGCCTTGTAATCCGAGAGTGCGGGTTCAAGGCTGCGTAGGGACCGGGTGACCCTTCGCAGTATTTGTAGCCCACGTGCGACTGGTGGTGGTTGCATGTCAACGAAGCGTCGGTACAGCGTACTGACGGATTGCCGATGTCTTTCTTTTTTTCGGCCGTCACCACCCTTCTCCAAGCTCATGAATACGTACTTCAGTGTGTTTACCGGTATGCTAACTTCCACGGACCACATGGAAAGGCAGTCGAGTTTTGCTGAAGTATATAGCAGTCGTCCGGGAGTACTAATCACTCTCCATATCTTTAGCTTTCCCGCATACAGACTACATGGTGACCGGAGATGCTGTCATAGTTTCCTGTTGCGGATGAAGAACCTATGGTAGTCGACTTATACGCTCAACTTTCAGCCAACGACCAACTTTCAAATCCACTGGTGCAGTGATCCACCAACTCTTCAGCCTCAGCATGTGGAGAAAGACCTCGTGATCCACTTTGCCCATTGCTTTGCTGAGATCGTTGTATCTTACGTCGATAGAGTGTTCGCGCTCAGAAATACTTATTTTCACAGTAGTTCAAATACGCTTTCCATCACTTTTAATCACATTTTATAGTTCTATCACCAACTTTCTACGGTTCGCACCTCCTCCGCATCGAATCTAAAGCAAACCATCATATTTGCTGCTGCACGCGCTGCGGAGCAATAGCTTAGGTTTTTCTCACAGCTCGGTCTTGGAGTGGAGTGTTACAACCGAAGAGCGCCCAAAGTGCATAAGGATGGAATGCCTATGCGACCAATTATTTCCATGGTCAATTTGCCGTACCACACCATTGCCAAGTGGTTGCACAACTTCTTTGAAGCTGTAAGAAAATCCATAGTAAAGCATATGCTGTCAAACACTTTTGAACTACTGCTTTACTTGGAACACGTATACTTGACCAAAAAGCTTATGTGTTCTCTTGACGTATAGTTCCTCTTCACCAACATCCCGCTGAACGAGACTTACTTATCTCTATGAGTTTATTTCAAAACATACTATCCGATTACAGATCCTCACGGAATTGTTGCAGCACATATTTCTCTTGTGCACGAGAAACATCAAGTTTTATTTTTATGGGAAGGCATATCAATAGCTAACCTGTTCGTCGCAATCAGCCGACAATTCAGATATATCGACCAGCTGTCCGGAGAAGCACCAGACGGCCGTTTCGCCCTATTGGGGCTCATCAGTGGTGCGCATCCTTCGGTCCTCTGCGGATTCCACAAAATGCTATGTCGATTCATAGCTGCCGTAACCGGGAAGTCCTGACGCCGGAAGGCCGACCGCTGTCATCTGCATGGCAGTGAAGGATGCGTCGGGCTATATCGCATTTAGCTAACAATTCACGATAGTCAAATGGTGCAGTTGCATAAGCTGCGGGCTAGTTGGCAAGAGCCACTAGCAATCATGGGTTCGATCCTCCGCAGAGGACCGAAGAATGCGCACCATTGATGAGCCCCAATAGGGCGAAACGGCCGCCTGGTGCTTTTCCGGACAGCTGGTCGACATATCTGAATTGTCGGCTGATTGCGACGAACAAAAATACTCACCAAAATCCTCCCATTCATAAGCTAACCTGTGTTCCGATGGATAGTCCATTAAGCCCTTTGGTGGATGTGTTCATGAGCATGATCGAAGAGCAGACAGAGGGTATCATCAAATCGGCGATTCTATGCAAACTTTATGTGGATGATACACCGATTACTATAGATTCCGACGAGGACAGTATACTCGCGACAGAGACACTCAACAGTACGCATTCGAACCTTACAGGGGGATGTGACATGGTGCAAAAGAATCGTCTTCCATACATTCTCGTCACACGGCGATTGGATGGTTTGATCAGTTTACTGGTAAGCAACATGTACGGGTTGGTATTTGCATTTTAATAATTTCTCTCCAATGCTTGTCCGGACGCTGTTTTATGGAGCCCACATGATTTATACCCCAGACACATTGGAAACATAAAGATTTGTACTGATGATTAGTTGCTAAACACTCGCTGTTCGAGACATTACACTCGAACGGTTATCCGATGCAGTTTCTAAAGAGCATTATCAATATAGTCAAGCAAGATCGCGTGCCAACAGTTCAAAAGAAGCCGATCTTCATCGAACTGCCATTGAAAGTGATCATATTATGGAACACGTCGCGAAACGTGTTAGTACTTCAGTGAAAAGGGCGTATAAAGCAGCCGAATTACCGTTACTGACGTCAACAAGACCTCTGCTTATGTGTTCTATCGCGACATCAATAACGATTAGGTGCATGAAGCAATTGCTTATATAAATTTGCTTGTAGCTGCGGAGACAGCTATGTTGGGCGCACTAACCGAATTTTGGGTGTCAGGATCAACGCACATATTCCTAAGTGGTTACGCAACCGGATCGATGGATTACGACGGAATCAGCTTATTTGAGCAATCGAGCTGCCTCGGCAGTCAAAAGTTACTGACCACCGACTCAATCCCGATCAGTCATTCAGTGTCTTGATGTGCAATCAGCGACGTCACATTCTTAGGCTATTGAGGGCTATTGCCATCGATCGAAGCGGCCGCCGCTTTGTGTGCAGAAACAGCTGACCGCGAATCTTACCTACCGTGGAAGCGTGAGGCGTGACGATTTTCTAACGATTGGCTGGCCATTGATCTCATATGACCGCCTTTTTATATCCATGATTTCTGGCTGACGAGCTTGGAAGAAATGGCTTAGTAATCTCACAATTTACGTCTTCTGATTTTTCGATTTGAAACTATAAAGGGAATTTCCTGTTTCAAACTAACTGACATCTGTTTCGTTGCTTTATCTTGAGTCAAGGTAGACGTTGCTCGTCACGGATTTCGTCTTTAACCAAATCGTTTCAGTAGCATCGTACCAAACTTGATGATAGTCTGTCACGTATCCTCGCCGTTCTCCATCTTATCCGCCCGGCACCGCTCAATTTGGTGCACTCTTCTATGTTGCAGTTGCTACTTTTCCATGCATTACTCACATCTCTTTTTTAGCGCAATCTTTTTGCCACATACCCATCCATTTTCAGGGTCGACCTTGTACCGAGTCAGTAATGTGATTAAAAATAACCGCTCATTCGAACCACTGCCAAATGGAAGCTTACCGCATGAAGCATATCGGCCACTGCGCAATTGCTTAGCGCTTGCATGGGCCACTGTACAGCCAGTCACACATTCTCCGATCAACGGGTGAGTGGGAATTGTTACTTTCTCTCTGTCGTTTCCCTCGTGTTCTCCTTTTCTTTGCATGTCATCTGAATCTAATGCTCCTTCCGACGAAACTGTCGGGTGGGTTATATATGTGTGGCATATTTCTCGACTGTGCGAGGCATAGTCCAGCTACATGGTCTGATCATTTGGTACAACAGGGTCGCGGCAGATGGATAGTTGTTCAAGTTTTTCAAAGCAATTCCCAAATACGTTTTTGGGATATTCCATCATTTAACTGTCTTAGAAAGGCCGAGAAGTTGCGAATACAATGAAACTGATTATTGCAAGTGGCGATACGGACAACCGTAGGGTCATCTCCATGGGACCTGCTTCCATGCGGAATAGTCTTTCGAAAGGTCTCATCCGCACTTCCACGCCTCATCTGACCTTGTGCCTGTGGGGCATAGAAGCAAGTAAGCCATCACTGTGTCATTTTATTTTCTAGGCAGTTGTTATGTATAGAGAGCAATCGGCTATTCAGCCTGTTTCAACATTCGACTCTTTCGAGTCCTCCTTTGCTCGCCGGTAGGTCTGTGGCAATTCGCCTCGCTTGGGTGTCTTGATTACTCTGAAAACTTTACTCCGTCACTTTAGGAGATGGGCCCAATCGTGGTCAACAATGGAAAGCAAGCAAAACAGAAATATAGTGAAATAAAACTAACGGTAAATGAGCGGCATACATCCGAAGGTTTCTGCTTAAGTTTGTACCTAGTGGTTACGAAAAATAAACTTGACAGCTTTCTGGGATTTTGAGAGAAATCTAACAGATCCAGATAATCGAATAGTAGGGTAGTTGATATCGAGAATTGACCTTGCGAAGCACTGAGCACCGTTTCTTGTTCAATTCAGTTCAGTTCATTTGAACTACTGTGGTCCGAGCACAAAAGTGCCATGGATCCAGTTGCTACGACTCATATCGTTAGAATAGCAATACATAACAATGGCAAGATAGTTAGATTGAATGCAAATAGAATGTAAGGAAAATGCAAGCACTAGAGGTGGACGTTAGACTAATCAAACTGGAATGTGAATTAACCACCATATACAGGAAACCGAATGCAGCAATCTCACTGACTGCGTGACTACGCCATGTGTGAAAGCGTCTCCAATCATTATTGTGGACCAACCCGCGGCATCCATCCACGAAGATTGCACGCACCATCCTGACGAGATCTCTCAGTGAATTTCTTTATGCCTCTAGGCCATGTCATGGACTAGGCACCTCGAGGTTTCGCCTAACTCGGGGCGTATAATGCACGCCGAAGAAGCCGATCAACGAGCACGCGGAGGATATGGCCTAGTTGACACTAACGATTAACATTCAACAAACACTGGTGCGACACCAGAAGGCTTGTTGCCAAAACCAGCTGGCAGACCTCAGCAGTGCTCATTCGGTGTTCCCACGAGACCTGAACACTGCTCCGCAAGCACCTATTGTCAACCACGGTCAAACGTTTAATGCCTTCGCCGCGGACTGGCCAGGTCTCTGTTCCATGCAGTAAGACCGGCCTTACCGCAGCGTTATGCACCCTGCCTTTCACTGACAAACTGATATCCCGCCATCTCCATAGATGGTTGAGTCACTTGAAAGCCACATGGGCCTTGATGAAGTAATTTCCTCACTAATGTGACCGCCAGAGCTGACACAGCTGCCCAAGTAAGTAAACCGATCAACCACCTCCAGTGACTGTTCGTTAAAAGTCCGTCCAGTCCTGGAACAGTACTTTGCACTTCGAAGTTACAAAGCACATGCCTAAGCATGCAGCGCAATGCGTCAGTCAATCCAGTAGTGTTTGCATAGTCACTTCTTTAGACCCAAGGAGAACTATGTCGTCCGCATACAGGTTTATTAGTGGAGCACCTGGCAGAACTCCCACTCTGATAGAATCTGAAGCAGCTGGACCATTCGTGATTATTTTGATCACGAAGTTAGAGAGAAAAGGAGATATAGGGCAACCCTAGCGAATTCCACTCTTCTTGGGGAACTGAGGACGCAGTTTCCCGTATGCCCTCGGGTATCACGGTGGAGCGGCTTCAAAATGAAAAGCAGTTTAGCTGGAACCTCCTTCATGGGTAGGCAGTGCCACAACCTGTCGCCCTCAACAGAGCCGAAGGCCGATTTCAAGTCAAGGAAAACGCCATAGTCGGCCGTTTGTATGTGTCTCTGCTCTACCACTTGACGAAGAGTAACTATGTGGTCGGTCTATGCAACCCCGACTAGGACAGAAGCTAGCCTGACTTTCAGTGATTTAGTTCTCACGGGGACCAGTAAGTCGTTGAAGTATGATACTCGTAAGAAGTTTGTAGGGAAAGGAAATAAGGTTGATGCGTCGATAATTTCTGCACAAAGCACGCTGGTTCTTCTAAAATATGGGGACAACAGTTGACAGTCGCCTGTATAAAGGCACCTCTTCAATGTCCCAGATCATGTTATGTAGAACAGGAAGTCCAATGAACTAAGAGTTACCTTCACCTTTTAGCAAATATAGAGGAAGATTGTCGGGTCCAGAAGCCCTGTTTCGTTTCACCACGAAAAATATGTCGAATCTACTCCAAAGTGAGAGGTGTGACATCAACCTCCCACGTTGGCTCGGGTGGCGGCGGTATCGCAGAAGACCTGCTAAATTACTCTTCGGATTGCTGCGCCCTACCGGTTTGTCGAAGAGGTTGAGAATGGATCAAATGTCCATTTTTTCTCAGCTATTGCCTCTAATTGGTGCCTTTCTCGGACCGCTACCGGTACTCGACTTGATTCCTCCGGGAAAGAAAAGAAAAGTTAGCAATGCAGAACAAATGCAAGGGGAAAGGAACTGTCAAGTTGGCATGATGGAACGAAAGACAACGAAACGAAAGACAAGTCTAAAGCGAAAGAAAAAGGAAGGCATCAGCGGTAGGCGGGTACGCAGTACGGACGCTTCGCTGTAGCGCAACCACCACCACTTGCACGTGGGCTACTGATACTGCGAAGGTCGCCCTGTCGCTCCGCGGGCTCGAACCCGCGCCGTCATATTACAAGGTAAGCTTGTTACCTTTAGGCTACCGGGCCGGCAAGAATCAAAAATGTTGCTATTCAGACTGTTTGCACATATTATCATACGATGCTGGAACTGTGTTCTTAAACTTCAACCCTTTCTTCATACATTATCTCCATACTTCTGTTCAGTTTTCCTGGAGTTTTGACTTACAGCACAGTGAGGTAATTATGCAACGTTTTCAAACGACTGTTTAGGCTCACAGAGTCGCAATTCAGTAGGTACCGTTCCAGCTATCCTAGTATCTTAACAAATTAAGTTTCCTGCCTCTTTTTTGTTCTTCATGCCGGAAGCGAATCCTTCTTATTCCTGACGTCATACCTTCCTTTCTACTGTGCGGGGTAAATATACCTTTGTGTATTGTGTCGAACAAAAACGTCAGATCCAGTTTCCATCTCAGTAGCCACAGTGGCTCTAATTCCACTAGTATACTGCGCTGCGAATAGTTTGGCGTTGGGGATCCAGTAAATTAGGTTTAAGTAAATTGACTCTGCACGTTATCCAGGAGTAAACCATCGCGTTTCTTGCAACTGATAAGTATCATTGAACGGTATTCCTATGAATGGCGCATGCAGGTGTTGAACAGAGGCTGGACCTTATCGTTGTGCGGTAATTTGCGTGTCTCAGTGATCCATTGAGATATGCTGGGTAATGTTTTTTTGCACCTTCAGAGCCACTCAATCCAGCTTGGTCAATGGTTAGAGGCCAGACAAACTCAGTCTCCTGCTTCTCCATGTTGGAGATTAGAGTGAGGGTGGCTCCCTTCTTCCTTAAAACGGACTCCTTGTAGACGACTGTCAAACCCGCTTCCTTGTGGTCAGGTTTTTGAATGAAAGACTTTGGTTGAGCACCCTAGTCGTTCTCCCGTCTAGGCCTGAGCAACCTGACAATATCATATCCACGCAATACGAAAACTTTTCCTTTAAACCAATTTTTGATGCTGTGGCCACCGCAGTGGATAACTAACGCGCCCTATCTGTTGCATCGAGCGGGGTGGCTAGGGGTTTAGATGCCACTGCTCAAGCATTCCCCCATTTACGCTTTTTCATCCTTATGGTCCCGTTCCATTTTTACTTTTATCTCCCCCTTGTCAACCCCACATTTCTTGGCCCTCTCGGACTTTGCTTTGATAGGCGTTTATCTTCTAGTTTCAAGTGACATGCAAACGCAGAGTGTCACTTCTTCCCTGTCGACAAGCCCATGTCTAACCAGGCGGTCAACCCAGTTCGTGGGCTTCTATTTGGAGCCCTCAATCCTCCCTCAGATTGGCATGCCTCAACGTACGCACATTCATACAGATAGGTTAACAAGCAGCAATTGCCCGAACATTAGAGACCCCTTCGATGATTATCTGCTGCTTCTCAGAAACCTACCTACAAGACCTGAGGTCTCTGCTCTCTTTACGATCCCCTTAAGGTGACAGTAGCAGTGCTTTATCATTGCGCCCATCCGGAGACAATGACGCTTCAGGTGCCAGACAAACCGGTGTTGGTATTGCCCTGAGTCCCCGGGCTGAAGCTGCTATGTTTCAATGAGTTCCAATAAGTAGGCGTATGTGTGCGGTGCGACTGGCTGGCTCGTTCAAGCTTCGAAGTCTCCTGGGACTAGTAGGTGTCTGTTCTTCATCGCTGCTACGCCCCTACAAACTGTAGCGTTGACTCGATAAGAGACTACTTCTATCGCCAACTGAACGAGCTCCTTCGTCACAGAAGATGCACGGACATTGTGGTGCTGACTAGGGATCTGAATGCTCAAGTTTGAAAACCATCCATTGCTGAGCTGCATCTGGCGACCAACAGGATGTAAGCTCCTGTAACAATACCAGTCAGCGATTACTTCATTTTCGTGAGGATGTTCGCTTATTTCGTGCTATCACTCATCTCCGACACGGCACTTGCCGGAGATTGACATAGCGCCGACTAGCCTTAGACCACCTTTGGACGCAAA